AGAGAAAACCACCACCCTTTTCTGAGTGCCAAGTGTCCACCCACTTTGCATGATATTTATTTGAATGCTCCAAAAAGGCAGGGTACTTATCTCAGTTTGAAACGTGAGCAGGGACACAAACACATACATTTTAATGTCACATTTGACTTGCATACTGCATGCGGCCTGCCCCTTGGGAATGAACAGTCTCAGCTCAGCCGCCCCAAAAATGAAGCTGCTTGAAATATAATTTCCGAAATGCAAAGCTTTTGTCAGTAAAATCTCTGTAGTTGATGCAAGAGTCAGCATTTTAATCATGTGCTATCATAATGTCCAACTAATTTCCCCTGTCTCTACATTGAATAATTGCGTGTTTTAATGAATCCTGCAGCGACCCCTCCTACCCGCGGCTTGGCCAGATGTTTGTGGAGTATGAGCATCCTTGGAAGAAGCTTACTGAAGAGTTTGGCCCTCACACAAAGGTAAGCTCACTGTATATGTGGTTTAAACGGTTGATGAGTGGCACAACTGAATTCACCTTGTCCAAATTTAATGCAGCTCCACCACACATTTTGGTAGCTTTACCTAGATTAGACTATCAATACTGGGACATTCCTGATATTGGACAGTGAGGCCTGGGTCACAGCTGGTGTCACAGTTCATCTCAGAAGTTTTAGATAGGGCTGAGGTCAGAGCTCTGTGCGGGCCAATAAACTTCTTCCATACCAAAAAAAAACCCTTTTCTTTATGAACATGTTTATACATGAGGTGTCAAAGTGTGGTCTCGGTGTTGTTAGCATAATTATTGTGTACTCTGGAAATAAGACTGCCCTCAACGGGAACACAGAGGTCTACTGTATAATTAAAACCAGCTCCAGATCTAAAGTACCTAAATGTATGTGGACATGTACTGTAAGTGTCAAAGACTACAGCTGTACCTTGCAAGTGTTTTACACACGATTAACACAAAAGGATATAAAACATACAACAATAATACAAATGATCGATCACATCTTTTTTTCTTTTTGTTGGGTTCCAGGTTTAAAGAGATGCCAACTCTCCATATTTCTGCCATTTTGGATCAACCACTTTCTTTGCCACTCTCCATCTTCCTTACTCACAGTTTCTCTACTCTGTCCTTCTCTTAGTCGGTGACAATGGCGTTGCTGTCTCTGAAGACAGTCTACCCGCGCAGAAACCTGCCAGCGGAACAGTGGCGGAGCGCCCAGCTCCTCAGTCTGCTCAGTAATCCAGCTGCCATGATGGACCCAGCCTGCTGTGACACTGTGAGTCCACCCTCTCATCACCACTAATTCTGTATTTATCTCTGATTGAGGGGAAAAAAGGCAGAGGACTGGGGTTAGTATCAGTCCAGTGAGAGAAGGTATCACAGCCAAAACACTGTCACATTAGTATATGAATTTGTCTTTAAAATCAGATGCATTCTACTTCACAGCTCTGTCTTTTTTCTGCTCTACTCCCATTATTGAGCTACTGTATCATTTAAAAAAGTGATTTATGTGATTGTCTTTTAACTTCTCATGCACCTCCGTCTCCACTTCTATTTCTATCCATCTCTTTTCTGCATAGTCCAGTCCTCTGTCTTCTAATGTTCCTATTATGCTCTTTATGATGTATTGTTATGATGCCTGTTGCCCAGGGATTTCTCATATGAGAATCACTTACCCAACCAAGAAACAAGCCTCCAGCCAGCCTCTTTTCTTATGCAAAAATACACTACATTTTGCTGGGGTTTTTGAGCTACTTTGTAAAGTTGTGCATTTCAGCATTCAACTCCAGGTAGAAGAACTTGTGAGTGCATTGCATACAAAGGTTTTATTAGTGTAGAATCTCAAACAACTTAATTTTTTATGGAAGAGGGAAGAACAACATGGTAGCAATGCAGAAATCTATTTTATGATGGCTACAATATATGATTTTATTTCATTATAATGTGTAATAATTAATAATATGTAAGGCTGTTGTAAGCGTGTCAGTACTGGCAGTTAATAAGTTTGATGTTCACCACAGATGACTTGTGAATACCTGTCTACGGAGGTGATGGAGCGATGGATCATTAGTAAGTATCACTCATTCTGACTGATGACTTCCTTGATCACTACGCTTTATCAAAGGATACAAATATTTGGCAAAATTCTTTAAATTTCAGTTGACAGCAGCAGTTGATTTGCACATTTGTTTTAACTAAAACATGTTTCACACACAGTGATGTGCTGACTCTGGATATCAGTTAATGTTACAACCTTTTCAACAGTTTCAGTTTAATTCCTAGTCATCGCACCTCAGGTACAATTTCAGTCCAATGATTTTCTGTGAAAATCGGAGCTCTCTTTTGATCAAAAGCTCACATAGGCAATTGATTTTAGCTAGAATATAGTCTTAATTATGCTGTAAGACACCAGATCATGAGTTTTGCTGACTTTCCCGTTGTAGTCGGCTTCCTGTTGTGCCACAGCAGCCTGAACACCAACCAGGCATCCCAAGAGCTGTGGAAGATGGCGCTGAGGAGTGGGCTATACCTCACCCTCACCAGAGATGAAGTCCTCAACATACACAAGGTCTCCGAGGACCTGTTTGACAGCATTAAAGGGTATGGAAGTCGCTTCTACAGTGATTCTTCACACTGTAGAAGTTGGGAAATGTTTAATAGTTGATGAATAAAAAAATGTAAAAGCTAGATAACAGGCAGTTGGTGCATCTGCATATTTCACAGTTAAAAGAACTGAACACAAAACTGTGCTTTAAATGCTGTTCTCAAATCATGTATTTGGATTAAAGAGGCCTCAGCTGTTGAAAACCTTACAGCTGGTCTCTCTGATTGCTCATTAATTCTGGATATAAAGATCTGTTTTACTTGGTTTCTTTTTATTCATTTATTTCCCCAGATATAGCAAGCGAGTTGAATGCCGTGACCATGTCATAGTCAACTGGTGAGCCTGGCAGGACACTAAGCAATGGTTTTAAACTTTTTGTGTGATGTTGTACATAGTCAGCGACGTATGAAATAAGCTGTGAGAACTAAGAGTTAATATCATTTCCTGTGCTATTAACAGTGGGGCTATGCACAGAGAGAGGAGGCACTTTCTGAGAGGAGCGATGAAGGAATTATTTAAAGTTCTTGAGGATGAACCTGGACTTCTGGGACCAAAGGTAGAGTGCACAGCAGTGACCATAACAGTGGCACCTGAGGAATGTAAAACATTTCATTACTGCAAATTATAACTTCAAAGTGGAAAATAAAAGTTCTTCTAACTTAGGAAAAACAGTGTCTTTGATCCAGCTTCCATCCTGCACATATCTTAAATTTGAATGGGGGCAGGACGTGGATCTGAATAGCCCTGCAGTTCATAGTAATGAGTTTTGAATGGCTCTTTCCAATCTTAGCTGATACACCTTTCTAAAATTCCTCTTTCTTCTCTCTGGTCTGGGTGCCTATCAAATTCCCAAGGCCCTGTTTGTCTTCATGGCTTTGTCATTCGCCCGTGATGAAGTCCTGTGGCTCGTCAAACACTCTGAGAATATGCCAAAGATAAAGACGCCTGAGGACTACATTGACAAGTAGGTGATAGTTACAAAAGAATATATCCATGGGCTGCTGCAGCTGAAAGACAGACATTGTCATGTTAGTGTGCATACATCTTGCGCTCAGTCACTCAGTGGCCACCAACAGTAGAGGATTAGACATAACAATCTCAAAAGGTCATGCATCCCCACTCCAAAGCCCCCCAAAAGTAACAGCAGCAGTAATATCACTTTTAAAGTTCTACTCCACTCTCAAGATCTCAAGGATAAAACAACAACAGCTGGACTTTCGTTCTTGTTCATTTTTATAGAGCTATTGTCCTAAACTGTGCAGAGGAGATGTTACAATGGAAATTGCTTGTTTGCTTTTTCCAATTTTTTCCAGTCAGATGGCAGAGTTGCTGTTCCACATGGAGAAGTTAAGAGGCCTGATGAAAAAATACAGCCATGTAATACAGCGCTACCATGTTCAGTACCTGGCGCAGTTTGATGCCTTGGTTCTCAATGACACCATACAGGTATTGTTAGATAAAGTTAACATATATGAGTACTTGTCTACAGCATGCTGCATAAGAATGTAAAATTTTGTGCATTTCTGTTACCCATTATTTGAGATGCTGGTAGTGTCCGAGAGCTAAAATGGTACAGCGATTCTATTATTCAGTTCATTAATTATTCTCCAGCTCTTTTACATCGGTACTTAACGCTGTCCTCTACAGAGCATATACGTGTGTCCAGAAGAGGAATCGGTTCTGATGACTTCATTCGTCTCAACCCTGTCTGCCCTCTCAGTCAAACAAGGTAATCACAGCCAAATAGTGAGTATTAGCTGCTTTAAAAACAAAAATATAACTTCACTTTTAATAATGATGAATGACATTTTGCTCTACAGTGGAAAACAAAGAGGAGTTTGATTTCAGAGCGCTCAGACTGGACTGGCTGCGGTTACAGGTATGCAGATTTATTGTTCAGCATCAAATTTCACAGAGTTCAATGTGGAGGCTGCAACTTTTCTTTGATCAGCATGATATTAGCTTATTACTGTCTTCATCTTTCATTTTAGGCCTACACAAGTGTGAGCAAGGCTCCTCTTCCTATCAAGGACTACCCTGACTTAGCTAAGGTGATGAACATGATCCAGTTTCACACCAGGATGGTGGACAGTGTAGAAGAAATGTTGCAGGAAACATCTGAGGTGTCCATCCTCTGGTCAGTGTCTTTCAGTCTTCTCTTCTCTCCTCTCCTCTTCTCCATCAAAGGTTGACTTAATATCTTAACTGTTTATTTTCTTTCTGTTTTCCAGCTTCTACCCACGTGTCTTTGAGAAGATGTTTAACCAGAGCAGTGAGGAGGTCACCATGAGGCAGTATCTCATGTCTTTCCCATCAGTCTGTTCTCACTTTAACCAGTGTGGCCACCATCTCTGCCCAGAAGAGGTCAGTGTTCCATTATCCGCTGACAAAGATATAAATCATCAGTTGAGCTGTAGTGACAGACTCACTACTGCACTCCACATGATGTTTGATTTCTAGCACTTTCACATCATCTGCTGCATCAGAGCAGCTACAGTACATGGCACATGCTTACTTTTGTTTTTCTGCTGTGTGCATATATGCATACTCACATATACTATCATTTGTCTGTGTGTCTAGATAGAAGCAATGGAGAAGAGGAGTCTGCATCTGTGTGTGGTCTTCCTGGAGCAGATAGCCAAGCAGACCAGCAGTGTTGTCTTAGAGATATGTGCTGAGCAGTGCAAGCTCAATGACCAGGTGAAGTCTGAGACCGATACCGTCAAGCTCCATATCAAAATTTTATAACACTAGTCATAGCTTGCCATCAGTGGATGTAGCTATAACCAGTGGACAGACAGAGAGGTTGAACACATTATAAGACACATCCAGTAGTGTGCAGCTGATTAATGTGGTGTTGTTAATCCCTTGAGGAAAAATGACCAAAGTGTTTACATTTTGACTGAGTTCTTGTGATGTTTGTCTTTAAACATTTTACATGGTATTTGCTTATCCTAAATCCTTATTCTCTCTCTTCCCCTTTTTCTTTCCACCATCTTCTTTCCTTCTCTGCATCCATCTATTTCCACTTGACAACCCCTTAGCTGCTGCCCAAACAATGTGCTGAGACCATCAGTGCTGCTCGCCACAGAAAACAGAAAAAGCCGGTGCCAAAGAAAGGAGAGGTTCAGAAAGAGAAACCAGGGGCTGAAAGCCTGAGGAAAGACCGGACCATTGCCACCAAGTCAGCCTTTCTATTTGTTTCCCTGTTGACCTTTCCTCTTCTTATTTATCTCTACATCAATAATTATCCTCAGTTGGCAGAAGACTTTTTAATTAATACATTCTTGATTTCTGGAAACATGCAGCATTGTCAACAGTTTAAAAAAACAGATGGCACTTTTGGATTCTGATTTCATTTTCAAATAATTTTCTTCAGCCCATGATGAATTTCTTGTCTTAAATTATCAGTAAGCCAGGATGAAATGGTTCTCACCTAAAAGACATAATTGGATTTGAACTTGAGTTCTCTTCAAGCTGAATCAGTTAGGGTTGACAGGTAGTGAATCAAGTTATTAAAAGTTTCTCAGCCTATTAGAGAAACACTTTTATTGGCTCCACATTTTGTTGGCATATCAGTTATTTGGTCATATTCTATAGCTATAGTTAGATAATTAAATCCCAAAGAGTTGTAAGTCTGTCTCTCTCCCTCTCCTCCCCCACCACCACCTTTCCTCGGTATGTTTACTCTACTCTAAAATGTTTATGATCTTATATGTCTGAGAAAAACATCCATACCAAAGTCATTGTCTATAAATATAAGGCTTGCATTCTCCCTTCTATCTCTCTCTGTTTCTTAGTGTTGACAAGATGCATCTGACGCTGACAGAGCTCTGCTCCTCCTATAGTCTCTTTAATGACTTTATTGTCTTCGATCACATCATCGTTCCTGGAGAGTTCCTAATTTCTCAACTGGAAGCACGCCTCTCTGAGTAAGATAAATGTTGATTTAGTTTCCTAAATAATGATTGAGTCCTGAAGGTGTATAACAAGTGTAGTCCCTGAAAATGCATTTGCCAGTGTTTCTTGCTCCAAGGTTCCTGTGCTTACTAGAAATGAGCTTTTGTGCAGCAGAAGCTTCGGGTTTGTTCTTCGTTCACTCCATAAACAATTACTGTCAGAAATATGCTAATTGCTGACATGAGTGCCTGCTTTCATTGTGAAAGGGACATATTATGCAAGTATTGTTCTCAGTGCACGAATATAATGCCATCATTTTCATCCTACTAACATCTGTCCACACTCACTGCTTAAATGCTCACATACATCCTGTCCAACAGCTTGACCCCCATGCTGAACAGAGGCTACATAAATATTAAATAAAAAATCTTTCTGAACGGGATGTGACAGAGAAAAGGGGAAATTCAAAAGCTACTTTTTCTCCAAACTGTCACTCATTTACAGATCTGCATACATTTTTCTTTTGTCTGCCCAACAATCAGGGAATCCTTTAGACCTTCTCTTGTGACATGCCGCATTCAGTACTCTAATGAACGCTGCTTAATTCTTTCATTTTTCTATGTCAAGCTGTTCTGCATCCACTTTAAAATCTTGAGAAGAGATCCAATATGTCACCCCTTGCTCTGTGTCATTTCAGTACTGTTATTTGGAATAGGGCTTGGTACCAGGGCAACCTAATGTACTGTATGTGCTCTGTTTAGTTTCCTTGTATTAGCTGATGACTATCGCCCCTGTCACCCTAAAATTAGCAACCTTGATTAGCACTGCATTCACAGTGATTGATCCTTCCATAACCAAAATCATAATTACAGTCTGGTTAGGAAGATCAAGACAGAGAATGATGGGCCCCAACAAAAAAAAAATGAATAACACAGCAATGAAGCTCTAAGCGCAGTGCTGACCTAATGGAAGCACTACCGTGCCACCATGGCTCATTTAACTAATTTCAAGGCCTCATCTGTCCAACCCTGAGTCCCCTCTAGCTGGGCTATAAGTGACATTGTTTAAACATGTTTCTCCAGGATCATCGTCAAAATGGCCAATTACAACCAGACCACCCAGGAGATAGCCCGCCCGTCAGACCTCCTGGCGGCGATAAGAACCTACACAGCCAGCATGCACAGCCTCTCCAGCTACATCAATGTAGACACCACCCGGCTGGTGAAGAATGTTCTGCTGCAGCAAACACAGCCACTGGATTCACACGGAAGCCAGACCATTACGACCATCTACACAAACTGGTGTGGGATATAAAGTATAGGTGTATCTACTGTATACTACATGTGTTCACTTAAACACAAATAACTGATTCACTGACACCTATAGCATCATACTGTACACAAACTTACACAAGAAGTAATGCTCCTCTTGGTTTCCTTCTCTGCATTATTTTCAGTCACCCCCTCTTTTTTTTGTCTCTCAATTTTGCTTTTTAATTCAAACACATGTTGCATAATGACTGAGCAAGTTTGTTTTACTGCACCTCAGGTTCCTGGAGAGTCTTTTGCGTCAGGCCAGCAGCTCCCTCATTGTACAGTGTCCTTTGATGCACTGCTTTGTCAACCAGAGTAGTGACAACGACCTAGGTTTTCGAGCAGAGGAGTTCTCGGATATATCAGGTTGGTCCTACAGCTTAACACTAATTAAATCTGTACCATAGGTCCATATGTCATCATATCTGGCTGGGTGCACATGACTCTACTAACAAAGGTAAAAGTGCTATGTTTTGAACTATTGTCTTTTCACAAAGGAGGCAATGTAAGAAATTGGAGAGACATAATACATTTATAGTGGCAGTGATGCTGTATTTAGAAACATACTTGGCTTTTAGTGTGTATTACCTTGCACTGTATGATAAAAAAAAAATCAGATGACATTCAGCAGTCACATGCATAACTTGGTGTCCATAGCAACAGCTCTAATTTGTGTAGAGGTCATGCTATGAATACGTCCATGTTGTACACTATGAATTTATGCCAACAATATTAGTGGAAATTTTAAGGACCTTTAGTCATGTGGGTGCAATCTGAAAGCACTTCAACTTTCTACAACTGCTACAGTTTTTACAATTCTTGTCTTTGACATTATTTGCAGGACAAATAATAAAAATACATCAATGGGAAAATCATTTTCTTCTGTTTACATTTTGCAGACACATTTTTACACTTGACAAGTTCAGAAAGGTCCCCTGTACTCAGAGGCCCACTGAGCCAAGAGATGACTCATTCTTTTTCAAAAGGCACAGCTCATTAATTCCTGTAAAACCACACGCAGAGGGAGCATTATTTCTTAAGAGGATACAGAGCTTGTTACTGTGTTGGCGTGTAGTGTTTTCCTTCACATTTACTCTCATGAAATTTTATTCTGACACTGCCTGGCTAATGTAAACTTCAGTACTGCCTGTCGTCTTCCTCGCTCATTCACCCCTGCTTCATAACCGTGCCAGCGTCACTTTCTTTTCCACACATCCTCCAGTTCTGCCTCCATGTTACAAGCAGTAGACCTCCTTATGTACTAAGGCTGTATTCACTCTACTACAGTTCTTGGCACACACAAGCAAACATGAACATTATGCACACCTACAACCAGAGAAGCATTCATAAGGCATGGGCAAGCACAGTACCATGGAGACCGCTGCACTTCAACAGATACCCCCTCACAATGTCATCATCATTGTCTATTTTTACTCCTAACTGAGGTATCTTCTTGCCTCACAGTGACTCACTCGCCCTTCCGTCCATTAACCACCTCCAACTTTATCCACACATGTTCTTATCCATCTGTATTCAGGCAGAGTTGTCAGGCTGAGTGAGATGTCTAATAGCTGCAGTTGTCTCTCTCACTGTTTGAGGTACACTCACAATTTATATCCTGCCAGTGTTCTTTCTCATTTCTCTCTGATAGAGGTTGAAGCTTTAGATTTCTGTAAAAACACTGTACTGTAAAGAAACCGAACATCTCCAGCTGGCATCATTCTGTTGTGCATTTTTGTCAATGCTGTTTTAAGCTTCTGCTGATCACTCCTCTCCCTTGAATCATAATCCTTCAATTCTTCATATCACCCCTTGAACAGAGTTACAATGTCTCGCTGAGCTAATTGGTCCATATGGCTTGAAGTTTCTCAGTGAAAACCTGATGTGGCACATCACCTCTCAAGTCAGTGAGCTGAAGGTATAGTATGATACAAAATGCTCGTTCCAAGAATATAGGTCAGATCAGCTCAGTGGCCCGCTGAGGTTTCTGGGTGCAAGTTATCTGACAAATTAATCTGAGAAAAATTGAAAACCTCAATAACAGGCAGACTGAGTAACTATTCTAGGTTTTAGTCAGCAAAGTTCTTCAGAAGCCTTGAGGTGTGATATATATATATGTTAATATTACTTGTGGTCAGACTAAACTGCTCAACATCAAAAGGATTTAAAGTTTTCATAGTAGCTGGCAAACTATACAAAATTATAGAAATGTTGTGACACCTTAATTTTATGCTTTTTACTCCAGTTATATAACACAAAAAAAAAATCTATGCCATAGCCTGTAATACTAAAAAACTACTAGAGCACTCAGTCTTTGGATAGAATTCACATAATGTAAGAGGAAAATGAATTATTTATTCATAAAATATGTTTTTCAAGCCTTTGTGTGTAGTTCCAATAGTTTGTTTATGAAAATAAACTTCATTTTGATCATTTGCAGTGAGTTACAGGAATTAAATAGAATTTGATTTTGCTTAGTTTCTGTCCATCTGCTGCTGTTTGCAATGAAATATGCATAGTTTCCATTTTAATGCATTTAAGTATATCATTTAATTTATGACACGAATTTCACTAAAGTTGGGGCTAGAATGAGAATGAAAAAACAAACTGAATTTTAAACATTTCACATCATCAAAATGGATATTCCTCATAACATCTAGAGAAAATCACTAAGTACCTTTTGTTACAGCTAAGCCTCACTTGGCTTTCTCACCAGCTAGTCTTTACGTTATGCAATAAGCTGTCTTGCGTTTCTCTGTGGTAAAGAACAATGCCAACAAATGACCAAGCCTGAGAGCAGTTACTGCAGTTTTTCTTTGTAACAAATGTTAATTTAGAAAGCTATTTTTTACATTAGTGAGACATTATACATTTATTTATAAATTACAATGAAATAATAGACTGTGCCAAATAATCAGATTTAGCTCTGAACTGAACTTTGACCAAATATACAGTAAATACCACATTTACAGTTCAGATCTATCAGCACAGTAGTAAAGCATGTTTCCTTCAAAATACATTCTAGTTAAGAAAATTAATTATATTGAGTTTACACTATTTTTTTTGTTTTGCAAGGACGTCTGTGCCTGTAGAAGCAGTTTTGTGTTTTTTTAAAAAGTCTTGTCAAACTTCTATATCTGTTTTAAGTGTGAGAAAATTTGTACTGCTGTTCTGTGGCTCACCACTTTGATGCCTTTGGTTGCAGTGAGGAGTTGCACTGCTGTAGCTCTGAGGTTACTGACAGATCTGTCACAACTATGACCTCTCACCAATATAACTCACACCTCAAGGTGTTTTTTAATCACTTCTTTTTCTGTCAGAAACTGGTGATTGAAAACATGGACGTCTTGGTACAGATGAGGAGCAGTTTTGATAAGCCGGAGGAAATGGTCACTCTTCAAAAGAAGCTGACAGGTGAGCACTGGAGAGAGGAATGTGAGAGCAGATAAAGAGGAGAAGATATGAAGAAAGAAGTGGAAGGTTAAAAGGAAAGCAATGGATAAAAAGTGTAGGTGTAGAAAACGGGAGACGGAGGAGAGCAAGCTCAAAATTTCATTTTCATCTAACACAACAAATTAAATCCTGGAAAAACAGTGCAGTAAGAAGAAGCTGGACAAAGAAAACATTTGTTTTTATTCTGTTTGAGGTTTCTTATGCATGATGTGTTTATGCACTTCTAGGTGGAGAGAATGTGTTGAAGAGGATGACTATCATTGGAGTGATCCTGTCCTTCAGATCAATGGCACAGGACTGTCTGAAAGATGTAATGTTCAACAATATTTTTTTATAATATAGAACTGTTGAACTATATATATATATATATATACACAGTATATATAGAAAAAAAAAATTCCCCACTCACCCCCCCACTTTAGGGCAGTCTTGTATTCCTTCCTTCAAGCTCAGGTCCTCTACCAGAGGCCTGGGAGCTTGAGGGTCCTGCGCAGTATCTTAGCTGTTCCTAGCACTGCACTCTTCTGGACAGAGATCTCAGATGTTGTTCCTGAGATCTGTTGGAGCCACTCTCCCAGTTTGGGGGTCACAGCCCCCAGTGTTCCTATTACCACGGGGACCACTTGTGCCTTCATCTTCCACATCTTAGCTCTTCTTTCAGCCCTTGGTATTTCTCGAGCTTCTCGTGTTCCTTCTTCCTGATGTTGCTATCGTTTGGGATTGCTACATCTATCACTACAGCCTTCTTCTTCTCCGGCGCGGACGCCCGCCCAGCCTGGCCGCTGGGGTAGAGCGAGAGGGGTTACATATGGAGGATGTGGGACCCATGGATGTGTGTGTGTGTGTGTGTGTGTGTGTGTGTGTGTGTGTGTGTGTGTATACACACACACATATATATATATATAGGGGGTGAAAATTGTTCTGGGCAGCTTTATGTACAGTATATAAATCTTTCCTTTATAGTGTATGATCTAACTGGTATTGTGTCATATTATCCTGTAGGTCTTGCATAAGCATTGCCCATACCTGATGGGGCCCATCACCTGCCTGAGAGACTTTATCTCCCCTGATACTGACATCAAGGTTAGACACAACGTTTTATACAAGTTACACTGTTAAAAAAAAATAAAAATCCATATGTTGAGCTCCCACAGAGAAATAAAGTGCAATAATGAGTTTTTTTTTCTGGGCATGAATCACCTTCTCACAGTTTATCATTCAGAGTTTATTTTCACAGGATCAGCTTTGTGTGGGAGAATTTATGCTGAAGGCATATTATTGTATTGACATTTATCCAAATGTATATTTACCTTTATGACTTTGGGGAATTGACTGATTGCAATCAGAGGTTAAGAATACAGAATATCCTGTTCCACAATGGGGAGCTGAATATCATTTATTTAAAATAATAGACAATGAGTAATAGTAGATCTGAGTTGCAGAGAAACTTTTTTTTTGCTATTCTTTACAGCCAACCACATTAAATTCCTTATCTCCCTTTGGAGCAATCTGTGTGACTGTGCCTCATGAACTCCAAGTCCCTTTACTTACGTCTGGCCTCTGAGCGAGGCATGACAGTTGTGTCACAGCCTGGGCCAGGATAACCCCAAAGACGTCAACAGGCCCCTCATGCCTTTGAGAGAGAGACTCTGATCACCGCTGCAGCTCTGCACTCTAAACCACATCAGTGGAAACATTTTGCCCAGACAAGCCAATCATGCATGCAACCAAAAATAGGGCAAGTTCAGAACCAGTGTCCAGACAAATACCTACCACTTATTTAATGTTACTCTATAACATTTATGTAGTACAATATATCACTTTTGTTGCTGATAATGCAAAGCACTGATCAACATGCTTCTGTGTTCCTGTGGTGTGGCGATTAGGCAATAAAATGCAACAAAATGATATAACATGTTATGCAGCTAAATATTTTTCAAACCCACACAAATCTTAACCCTAGTTAAAACACACCAAATGGGTTCATCTTGGAAAATGTGTATAATATGCAGTTATGGAGTACTTATACTCAAGTGCTGTTCTTACCATACCTACACAGCTGGAACTTAACTTGAATATTGTACTTTTTACTGCACAACATTTAATTTTCGGCTATAAATATTATGCGCTTTACAAATTTTGCATGCAAAATATGATGAGCTTATAAAAAATGATGCAGTATGTTGTAATAGATTAAATAGGTAAAATTAGTCCAACTTATGCAACTACAACTTTAAAATATTACTTGCATATTAATGCATTATTACCATTATTGTGTTGGATTTAATATTTCATTGCCTAAACAAACTGGAGCTTCAGAGGATACAGAATGTATGATGTGAAGGGGTTGAATTGCGCTTCATGTCAGCATTGTGCACCTCTGCTTCAGAAACTTTAAACTGCTTCTTTTAGCTGCACTTTATGCCTGATGTTTATGACCCTACAGGTGACGCTGAGTGTTTTTGAGTTGGCGTCTGCTGCAGGGCTGACATGTGATATTGATCCAGCCCTCATTGCAGCTATTGCCAATATGCAAACAGGTAAAGCTATTACTGGTGTTTCTGAAGACATCAAGCAGAGAGAATTTTTGTTCATCTTTTAATATCTATAAAACGCCTGCAGATAACACATCCATGGACGAGGAGTACAAGCTGTCGTGTTTGCTGCTCGTCTACATTGCTGTCTCTTTGCCTACCTTGGCCTTGGACAACAACTCGTCCTACAGCCGAGAGTACGGAGGTGCGTACATTCATTCCTTTTCATCAGCTGCAAACTGCTTGACAGTAATTAGTCTCCAGACACCTCTCAACCAAATACTAATCACTGCTTCTTCCAGCCATTACTTAAAGCTGCTGATAGTGGATAAAAAGGTACTCCACCCTGAAACACGACGTGTATCATACTTTCCAGTCTGACTGAAATGGTCTGAAGCAAAGTATGCTGGCTAATGAGAAACACGTTTCTGTTGAGAGACTTTTGTTTACAGATAACTTCGGCTGACGTACATTGATACAGTTACTCTTGGCATGTGGCCCTGCCGACCCTAACTGCTTGGCTCTAAGCCTGGACTGCAACATTAAGAGCAGCAAATAGCTGAGATTTCTATCAAACACAGGGTGGCGTTTGTCTCAGATTTTTTTTTTCTTTGTCTCCATTTTCCATTCACATGTTTGAAATAAATTTGCCTTGTGAGCCTGAGGAAATATGCTCAGCATGTGTCTATTAAGTATTATGGATCATTTCTCTAATCGGCAAGCCGCAAAAACATCCCATCTCTGGTCAAAGTTACAAACATGTTGTTTTATTCTGTCTATTTTTCTGTGATGAATTTTGTGTTTTTATTTTCCCAGGTCACAATAATAACATCCATTGTTTAGCAACAGCTATCAACCAGCTGGCTGCTGCAATGTTCACTGTTCAGAACAAGAACATAGAGCAGCACCTTAAGGAGTTTCTCATGGTGAGTCGCCAACATTTTAACATTCTGAATTAAAAAAAAGATCATATTTTTTAAATAAAATGCTTCACAAATCAGAAAATTTACACAGTTGTTCCCAACAAGAGGTCTTGAGATCAATCTGCTGATTACAATAATAAGAAAATCTAAATTGTGCTAAATAACATTTTGTTGCTGATTTTTTTTTTCCCCATGTGAACTACTTCATAGTTTTACTGTTTCAAGCCTTTAAAAATAATTCAAATTAATCTGATAACGGGAAGTCAGTGAACTGAAATGATCATAGGGTTGCACCTTGTAACAGTGGGTCTAAACTAAGTATTATTTTGGAGCACTGAATTAAAAAACTGTTTTACATTCAACACAGATAATTTTCTTGATGCTGACACAATGCAAAGAATTTTAGTCAAGTCAATAAATATTAGTGACATATTGCAAAGGATAAACGGTTCCTTGGGCACCGTATTCAGTTAGTATTTCATTTAAAGAGCTTTCTCAAGACACTGCCAACCTTTTGCCCCAGTTAAGGTCAAGTCCAGCAGTGTAAAAATGTTCCAGTTCTTTGATGTGTCTCTTTTTAACTATGTGCCATTCCACAGCTTGCCTCCTCCACTCTGCTTCAGCTGGGACAAAATGTAGAGAGAATGGAAGTCAAAAACCGAGAATCCATCTATCTGCTCATGCACATGGTAGGTTTGCCAGTACAATACTGTACTAATCGCATATTATAAAATTTACAGTAAAGCATAAGTGGGTTTATACTTAGACTAACGGAAGAACTTCTGAACCATTGTTTTTCTCTTTACAATAAACCATCAAGCCTGCTGTAACTTTTGTAATTGCATTATTTCTTATCTTTAAAGCACCAGTATTAAATTCATGGTTACAATGAAGTCATAACAGACTACTTAAAAATCTTTATACTAAGTAACAATGCATATCTGTGTTACTACAATTTAAGAAAGATGGAGAGGGGCTTTGTAAATACAGACCAGAAAGATTTTATTGTTCTGAAAGCCAGAAATCTTAGCCCTAACTGAAGTACAGTGATTACAGTCCAAACACAACTGAAACACAAGACTGGTATTATTCTGTGGTTTTCGTATTGTCGGCATGAAAACGCCAAAAGCAGCAATGAATTGATCTTATTATCAGTCTCATGATGCAACATTTTTCTTCATGCCAAAGAGCAAAAGTTAACATAAATGAGCCACACTTCTGAATTCTGGTCATGTTGTTTAATTAAAGCAAACACAAACCGTTACTGTAAGTACTATGCATGCTACAGCACCAGATGTGTAATAATCCTTGATAGTTTCCAACAACTGCAGTTACTTCCTCAGCTTTGACTGTTTGATAAAAATTTCAGCTGGTTTAGGATTTTTTTTTTCCAAATATGATGCTGCATACTGTATTAATTACCTTTTTTTTAAATGATGTTTTTTGGTTTTAAACGGGATTCATTAATAATAAGAAAATGCCTAAAATCCAGTTTTAACATTTTTAATACTAATTCATTTAGATTGTGGAGAAGTCTCCATTCTTGAGCCAGGACATGCTGGAGAGGTGCTTCCCCTATGTTCTGCTCCGAAATGCCTACAGAGAAGTATACAGGACCTTCATTGTTACTCTGGGTTGAACCTTTTATAATACTTTTAATTTAACCTTTCACCACAAAAAGATTTTCAATGTGCAAGCATGTTTTGTTTTCATTGCCTTCCAGTGTCTTCATAGGCCTACAAATTTAAATTAGGACAATATTTTGATCACAGCAATGTTGATAATGTCTTGTTTGAGTCTGCACTCTTGATGCACCCACATTAAGAAAGAGCTTCCCTGATGTAAAAAATGTAGAACTAGTTTTATGGTGCATCTCCTGTGGACTCTATCTGCTTGAATATGTCAAATGCAAATCAGATATATCTTGTAACATCCCTTTGATATTTTAACTATCAGTGCCATGACTTAAAGAAAACACGGTTTTTGAAGGAAACCAAATTTATTCAGGTTTTTAATAGTGTACTGTGTTAATAGTCAGTGTGTAATAGTATTTCTTACAAATTGCCCATGAATAAAGATGATGATAATATATGGTTTTTATTTTTGGTCTATATTCAACATGTGTTCTTCATCTATTTCCAGTCAGTTTCCACCCTCTATACCCTCCCGTCCTCCTTCTCTGGATGAGAATCTTGTCCTTTTCATACTTTTGAAACGATACACTCCAGTTTTCAGAATTGAAAATTTTTGCTAATTTTAGATGGCCCTTTGGTGATTTTTATTTTGTACAGTGTTGCGCCTCCTTTCTTCCGTTTTCCCTTTTGTCTTCTCCCTTCTGACCCTATTGTGCAGCTGTGTCTGTTTGTTTGCCACATTGGAGATATGCAAGTGTGTGTGTGTGTGTGTGTGTGTGTGTGTGTGTGTGTGTGAGAGAGTTGCATTTGGGTTCAGTAGCTAAGGGTGATGGACCTAACCTTCTCACAAGAGATTCAATTCCCACTACAGGCAACACTTAAGTGGATACACAGATGAACATTCATGAATAAACTAAAAAAAGCACATTCCCAATTGAACACTTAATGCAGAATCAGAGCATAGAATGCATGTTTGTGTATAAAGGGGTTAAGGCTTACTCTCCAAAAAACATGATGGAAATAAGCTATTTAAAACCTCATCATATGTGATTGGAGCAAACAACACAGTAAGACCTAGTAAGCAAAATAAATAAATAAATAAAAAAACACACACACAAAATAATTGTGCCTATGGAACAGCCAGATACTGACTTGTACTGAAGACTTTTACTTATTTAGTCATGCTTCACATTAGGCAGTTATTGTAAGCAACTCCTCTTTGTGAGATCCTTCATGCTTCCTTTATTATTATTATTTTCTGTTAAATATTTAATGGGAACGTCTTGCAAGCTTTAGAGAAATTTGTTGTTCTTATCACTGTGGTTTGATATAATGGTAACACTTTAACTCCCATGTGAAGTGTTTACAGTATAAGTAATATAGAAACATTTAACATATGTCTTTGATGCACAAACCTGGACACATCATCAGTGTTGTATCCTGGAATCACTGGGTGTTTTCAGGTGTTAACAACACACACCCTCGTCCAGGTGACCTGACCAGTGGTGACAAGCCTCGGCCTGTGTCCAAGTAGCATTATACTGAAATGTAGTTAAGACGTTTAGGCTACTTGGTTTTACCAATGCATTGTAGTGCACTATAGTATAAGCATGTCATTTCTTCATTTGCAGTTTCAGATTGAATCCTGTCATGAGACCCTGAGGACTGTTAATGGTGGAAACTTTGTTCCTAAAATAAAGACTCTCTACTGATTTCGCTGATGACTTGAGGAACACTGAGGATTACACACACACACGCACACACTCGAAATTCAGTATCTATACACAGAAGAAGGGACTAGGTGTATCTGAGTGTAAACATAGCGCAGCATAGACTAACAAACTATTATAACTATAAACATTCAACAGAAGACAATAACACATGCTGGATTTATAGTAAGGCACACAGGCACAAGCCCATACTGTGTTTAGTTTATTTACAAGCACACACAGTCTACAACAACATTTCAAACCAGACGCCATGATGCCGACTTTTAAGATGCACAGAGAAGGTGATAGTCTCAGTCTTGTGACATGGAGAACCACCCTAGAACGGTAAGACTTTTTTTCTTACTATACATTTTTTTGGCATATTCCTATATAAAATAATAATATTTCTGTTTGTTGGTTAAACAGTTTTCATTGACATTTCTGGGTTCTTGTGGGCCATAATGATGCAGAAGGATTAAAGATATTCATTCAGTGAATAGTGAAAAAAATTACATTTTCTCAGTCTTGGCTTTTTTTTTTGTCCAAATTTTGAGATACAGTATGTGTGAGACTTCTACCTACACCTCAAGTGAAATACAGTAGATGCTAAATGGAATTTCATTTGTTGTGCTCAGAGGGCACCATCAGTCTATGAAATTTCATTGCAAATCCATCCAGCAGTGGTTGAGATATCTGAGTCTTTGCCAAAGTGGTGGACCAATTGACTGAGCAGTGAACTAACATTGCTGTCCCCAGAGCCATGTCTTTAGTTTGGCATAAAGAAAAATCTAGATTGTGTTTTTTGAGCAATCATGTTTGTGTTGGCATTGAAGATCAACAAGATTATTGAGAATAACAGGGGTCAAAACCAAAATGCATGGCTAGATACCGCATGAGGAACAGCTAAGTCACAAAATGATTTTGGTGATTTGGATGTGTAACTTTTTATCAATACTAAATGGTTGACTGGGTGCCAGGTTTATCACAGAGTGATAGGCCTCATTAAAGTAGTTTGAACCTTTCACCACTGTGTTCAATCAAAAACCTATTGATTTGAGTGAAGTATACTTGATTCTATTGTTGTAAAAAGAGAAGTGACCACTCTCTGTGCCCCTCAGGTACTTGAACATCTAGTTCCCATACAGAAATGGGTAACTTTTCAATGGGATTTATGGTGCCACAGAGTCGGATTTCTTTCTCTGAAGTGTTGAGTCTGAGTAATATTTGGCTCAGGTCCTTGAGTGGACCTGAGATCAGAGGGTGTGTGTTCATCATAATCACAGGGGAACTGAGAAACTAATGGACCAATGGAGGGACAAAAAGCACTGGTTTAGAGAGTGAAGCAAGCAGAAGGCTTGCAAGCAAACTAGGTGATACTTGTACCTTCCAACTGATTGTGACATTAGATGAATTGTTATTTAACTTTTCAACTTTAATTCACATCACACTATGGATAAGAGTGTAAGTTCATTCTCTGGCTTTTCTATAGTTTGATTCTCTTTCTCTTCAGCATTAAATGCTACTTTCAGTCAGATAAAAGCAACCTAAAGTGACACCAAATGAAGAATCATATGTTGTAATGTTACTTCTCTTCATTTTTGAAATACAAGTATGTTTGTGCCATGTCAAAGAGCATGGGAGAATGAGAGACGGTCTGACCCAGCAGCCAAAGCAGGACAAGCAAGGAGGGAGATGGGCAGCAGGCAGGGGGGTTTCCCAAGCCATGTTGTAGTACAGCTCTCAGAATACTCTATAAATAAAAACTAGTAATGGATTTAGGACCTTCAACTGTAACAGTATTTAAGCATTTTCATTGTCTTCGCTGATCCTGTAGGTTCATGTGCTTTCTTTTTATAGTGTTTCAGTAAACACTCTTTTTATTGTTCCAGACTCTTTCTGGTGCTCACAAAATACTCGGCTGTGGCATTTATAAATATTTTGCCTTTACTGTTAAAGCAGATTACTGATATGATCCTAATTATGATTTGAGCTCCTGGGCACAATTGGATCTGTCACTGCAGTTTTATTATTGTGTTAAATTATGTACAGGGAAGCCTCTGGTACTATGATGTTTTTTTTTGTTTTTTGTTTTTTTTTGCAGGGTGACTTATGAGCAGTTATCTTCAGCTCAACCAGGGCAGCAAGAAGGCAACTTGTTAAAGTAGTCAAGCAACATTTATCTTACATGTATAGTAAGGGTGTCTGTTTTTCTCCCTTTACATCTTTTGTGCACAGTAGAATCATGAACAGAACTTACCCTGTATCGGGCTGTTATGAAAAAGTTTTGCTTACGTATTTAGTTTTAGGTGACTCGGGCGGGCTTCAGTGAAAGACTCCCTGTATAGTTGCCTGATGTGAGGCTGTGGTGGAAAATTCTCATTTGAAATTTGAGTACACACTTCATCAATGAGTGAGGTCAAACTCACTCACTTCCCGCAGTGGGTGTACACATGTATACAAGCACTCACTCACTGACAAAGACACTCACACCAGGCACTCACACACATGCAGTACACATACACACACTAACACAGTTTAGGCTTGCCTAACCAATCAGAGTAAAGTGGAGTAGGTCCCTACAAAAGTGGGAGGGAGAGCTGTTGAAAGCAAAGTCTCTCTCAGGGCACATCAAGTTTATGGTCGTGGTTTGGAGAACTTTTCTACTACTACTTCTACTACTTCTCTGCAATAGTTTTCCTTTTTCATTTTTCTAAACTCTGGGTTCCATTAAGGCACCGCTTGAGTGTGGAATGGCTGAACTGTTGCGAATCCGTAAGAAACGACTGCAGATCCCCATCTCTAGGTAAGACAGGGAGTTAAGATTAGCACAAATTAATTCACGGTCAATTATGCTACATAAGGTTGGATGCAAAGGTGGAGAGTAACTACACACATTTACTATTTTGAGATGCCTATACTTGAATATTTTCATTTTCTGCCACTCCAAACTTCACCTTCACTACATTTCAGAAAAAAAAGTACTTTGTACTTTGATAATTTTAGCTGCTAGTTACTTTTGAGTCTAATAAAACAAAAATATAGTATAATCACAAGATTTATTGATCCTTGGTGTCAAATTCACAAGCTACCCAGCAGTAATTCAAGTTATAAACATAACGCAGTTAAAATTAGCTCAATCTTTACCAGCTGCCATATTAAATGAGATGCACACAATAATGCATCAATAATTATAGTTGAATAATATTATGCACAATGTAAACTGTGCAATTTTGCACAATTCGTACTGTTACTTTTGGGACTTTAAGGATATTTTCTGCTAATAATTTTGTACTTTAACATTTTGAATGCAGGACTTTTGCTTCTAACAGAGTATTTTTACACTGTGGTATTGCTACTTTTACTTAAGTAAACAATCTGAGTACTTCTTCCACCACTTGTTGGATGTCTTTACCAAACGTGTTACATCTTGGAACTTAACAGACTTAATTGGTGTTTGGCACAGTATGGCTGTCAGGATCATCTTCTAATGTCGGAGTTGTTTCTTGTTTTGTATCAGTGGAAATGTGTGACTCAAAACATATAGCCTGCAAAGAACAGTGACGAGTTATAAGGAACCAGCCCTCAGAGGTTTTGACCCAGTTTTCAAGTACATCTTTAGGTACTGCAAAATAAAAAAATTGAACTGAGACATTTATTTTAACCTTAAAAGTATCTTGTTAGAAATACAGTAATCTTTATTTTTTAACATTCTATGTGTTCACCAAGAATTTCTGACTATGTTTAGGAACATGTGAACAAACACTTGTCATTCTAAGCTGCTGCGTGAACACTGATCTTACTTATGCGTTTGCTGTGAAAGGGAAATGTGCTGCAGAAGTGATATGTCATGTGGTTTTGTTTTGGTTAAGAGACTGTGTGCAGTGCTCACAGCTCTGAGTCTTGTTGATTATTTCTGTGCTAGTTGCTGAAGAAATTTGCGATGGTCAATATTTTACAACTGGCAATTCACAGCACTTTATCTTAAATTGATATAGAATCTGTTGTAGATTTAAGCTGTTGTTTCCTTTTTTTTAAAATAAAGTCTAGAAATATTTAGAAAAATTTTTGCTGACAAAACTCTTCTACACTGCTGTGCTGTTATACACTTAGTAAGGATGACACTACGCAGTGTGTAAGTTCAACAAAGTCTGAGCCAAAGAAGATTTGTCATTTTTCTCTATAAACAAAGTTTCTTGAGTGCACTTGAGCAGTAATTTCCTGTAAACGTCCTGTCAGGGGCTCTTCTACTGAGGACAGTTGAAATAAAAAAGAGCATGTTATCATGAAAGATTACTTAAGAATGAAAGTGAGCGGTGGCATTGAGATGCTATTTTTATGACTCAACAGCTTCTGAAAGCCCATGCCAGGGTGATAAACACTTAAAAAGCTGTGAGGGTCTCATCCCCGGAAGTTGGCGCCACAGTGAGGCCAGGTGCAGTTTGGACACAACCCTTCTGGTCAACACACAATACGTGCAGCTCCCCATAATGTTTTAGGGGAATTATCTGTGATGTGTGTTGTCATATCAAATAACCATCTCTTCCCAGCATCCAGAGAGAAAATAAAACCCTATTACTTTATGATGATTCTAGTTTTATAAACCGAGGAAGATATTTTTCATCAGAGCTGTATTAAGCTATTAAAGTTTTTGGAGTTATTAGTGAGATGAGATGACAGTAACAGACTGCAGGTGGAATACACTGACCTGTAGGTGACGTGGTCCAGGCATTTGCTTTTTATCATACTGCAGCAGATTGATGCATTTCCACAAGCTCTCTTTGGTAATTAGATTGATTTGATAAAATTTCAATCCAAGAATGAGCAATATGTTCTCATACAAGATCAGAATGTGGCCAGCACTTAGAAAGCAATCAATTTTCATGGAATCCACGTTGACAAAATGTGGGTTACATAAGACCCTAACTATGGGAAGTTTTCCTCTCATGGAAAATTTGGCACTAATGATGCACTTTTGCCACTGGCTTTCTTTGGACAGCTTGGCATTTAAATCGCTTCCAAATGAGCTCTTTCCACTCACCAGAATTTCTCAACCTGTTGTTAAAGCACTTCTTGGACCTTGTTTCACTTACTCAAGGCCACAACAAGTGCGGTCAGTTTACAGAGCCCTATTTAGAAAGCCTGAATCACAAACCCCTATTTTGTTCAAAATGATTTTTCCTATGTAGCTGTAACTTTTATTGCTATACCTGGTGTGATTTAATGTGAAAACTTTGAAGCCAGACTGCTGTAACCTCCAACCATTTGCACATCACCACCATTTCTTCTCAGTGACTGCTGTTTTGAGGGTGAAACAACTTTTGATCATACCCAGAAAAATGATTTTGTTTCCTTTCAGGTTAAGAAGCATGCTGAAGCAGCTGGAGGAGAAAGATGTCGACTCTGAAGAAATCAAAAAGAATCTGGAGATCACTGCTTCATTACTAGAGGCAGTTTATCTTGATGGAACAAGGTAGAATATGCTTTTGGATTCGAGCACTAATAAATTAAACATTTAGATAAATTTGCATGCCGGCATCTGAATGTATTCATGTTCTTTCATTGTAACTTAATGCAAAAATTATTTCCCATTACCAGGAGAAACTGTTTTTTTTTTGGTATTCACAGGACAATGACTATATTTGGTCCTGGCCTGAAAGGCTCCAAAAAGAAAAGATTGGAACTTCACTCATTATTCATTTGAAGGAAATGTATTTCTTGAAGAATAAATATAATTGACTGCTTCCTTCGACCTAAGATCTTTAAACCACTAACTACACCTGTAGGTATCACTGATCCTTGCACAAAGTAATCTGTATCAATCTGTACAATCTCTGTACAATGTTTGGAAAACATATTTTTTGATTTCTGGTGGAGTTTTAGATTGAGGATCAATACCACACTGTGTATGGTAAACATCAAGCAATAGCCAGCAGCTTTGTAAGCTTAGCAAGAAGACAGGAAAATTAGGTAAACAGATGGCTGATCTCTGTCACTGCCTGCTTGTTACTGGTGGAGAAGTAACCTTTTGGACTCTCCACTGGTTATCTTTGAAAAGAGCCGGGCAACTGTTTCCTCCTGTTTCTAGTCTTTGGCTAGGCTAACCATCTGCTGGTTGCAGCTTCATATTTAACAGACTGGTATCAAAATGTGATTGATACTCTTATCTAATTCACTTCCAGCTAATGAGTGTGTTTCTAAATATGTCAAACTATTTGCTTAAAGACTTTAACTTTCTTAGGTTCTAGCTCTGCATCTTGAGGGTTACACAGTTTGAACTATTCTGATATTAAAATCATATTAATTCAATACAATCAATCAATTATGACTCTGCTAGGTCACTAATCTTACCAGAACCAAGTAATGTAATGCATCCAGAAGGAAAGACACCAGTAGAAAGGGACCATCTCCTGTCAATTTTTACTTAAATGATTAGACTATGTGAAATCTTAGTTAATGCACCTTTTTATCAATAACAATATCATGTCTGGTAAACTGCCATTACAATATACAAAGAGCTATAGCACAGAAGTTTAAAAATGTTAGCCACTTAATTTAATGCTTTCATTTAGCATTTGCCTGTAACTCTGTGTCTTCATATAAGCTGTCATTGTGTCTTTGTTGTCTTAGACAGTGTCTGGAGTCTGAGGATGCTCTTCAGCAGCTGCAGTCAGACGGGGTGCCTTCAGAGGTCACTGACTGGCTGGCGTCCACCTTCACTCAGAGGGTTCGACGGCCTGTGCGACGTTCAGATGAGAAGCCCAAGTTCCGCAGCATCGTGCATGCAGTGCAGGCTGGAATATTTGTGGAGAGGTATAACAACACATTTCATTTCATTATAGTTTAAAATCATAAAAATCAATGTTATGTCATTTTTGGGACAATGTTCAATAAACCCAGTGTAATTCTGACAGGTTGTTTAATAATGTAGAAAAGGGACAGAACCAGTCATAGAACTGCTGACTTTGGAGCATTTATATAAACAGCTCTGAGTCGTGTTTGCTGCACAGTGTTGACATCTGAACTTTAGCTGAACTCAACATAAACACTGCATTATTCCAGAATGTTCAAGAGGGCCTACACTGCAGCCATGCCAGACCAACCTATGGAGGTTGTAAATTGCCTCAGGGTAAGACTTTGCTAATTTTAAACCTCACTGTACATTATGGCTTTGTGCAATAAATTGAACATCAACAAAGGATCATATACAGTACACAGCACAAGTATGCATCAATAATGCTGTCACTTTCTTCTCTTTCTCCTCAGGATATTGACCGCTGGAGCTTTGATGTGTTTCCTTTGAATGCAGCCAGTTCTGATCACGCATTACGAACTCTGTTCTTTGAGCTGATCATCAGATATGAGCTCAACAGTCGGTTTAAGGTCTTTTAACTTTGCATTTCACTGTGAACTATATAAGCACACTTGCCATACAATATGATGTTATAGATGCAAAATGCAAAACGTCAACCTTTAGGATGAAAAATGCAACATTAATACAATCAGTACTGCCCTTGTAGACTCTGTTTGTAGGAACCTGTGGCTTGTTTTAACTTTTATTGGTGACAGAAGCTCTTTAACCATAGATTTTAAAATTCACTTGTAGTGGTTTTTGCAATGCTTTTTGCAGATCCCCATCTCATGCCTGACAGAGTTCCTGTCTGCACTGGAAAGAGGATATGGCAAATACAATAACCCCTACCACAATCATGTTCATGCTGCTGATGTGACGCAGACACTGCACTGCCTGCTGTTGCGTTCTGGACTAGTGGTACAGTGGACTTACTTTAGTCTTATTATTGCTTGACTGCTTCATTCCATTTTTCAAGGACAAAGTATGCCAGTAAATCCTATGAAAAATTAAAACTAAGCATTTCCTAATTCATCTCTCAGTACTTTCCATTTCCATAACCTATCTGTGGTACAGGTCAATTTATTGCTTCTTCCACCACTGCCAAATACCTCCAAAATTAATGGCATTTCCATCAGCATCAGCTATAATTTGCATTTTGTGCTAAGAGGCGAATGAATGAATAAGATGTTGTGAAGACTAACCACCATATCTGGTAAACATCAGCCTGTTATTGTAACATTCTGATGGTGGCATTCAGCTCAAAGCACCACTGCCACAATAGCTTAGAATATTTGATATATGAGTGTATTCCTCTTATAGTATGTGTACCTTGCTACATGCAGTCAATTTTTAAATGTATTTGTTTTGCTTCCTGTGTCTATAAAGCACTGGCTGACGGAGCTTGAGGTGATGGCGTCACTGTTTGCTGCAGCCATCCATGACTATGAACACACAGGAACCACAAACAACTTTCACATCCACACAAAGTAAGCTTTTTTTCTGAAACATATTTTATTAACCCTGTCTTATAAAGCATCAGCTCTCTCTCTCTATATGCATATATACCACATCCTCCTGTGAAACTGTAAGAGAAAGAGATGTTAGGGAATATAGAAGTGGTAAAGTAGTGTTTCTTAAAGACCCTTATGCAGTTTTAGAAAGAGAGACTGAGCAAGTATTCTAAAGCAAACACATCCTCATGGAGGGAGCGCAATATTTTTAGATGCTGATTTTCCACATAGGAGGGCTGAAGAACGCAGTCTCATGGCACCCATTATCATCCTCATGCCTTATTTTAGGAATAAAACATTAAGATGTGTGTCCACAAAAGGACATTCATAACTAAATGAAAATTGTCTCAATGAACTGGTATTATAGCCCTTTGTAGACCTTTTTTATAAATACTGACTTTATTTTAAATATATCAGTGACATTTAATTCACCCAAAGTTGTTTAGATTTCTCTAAATCCATTTTCACAAATATCCCAGATTTCCCTCTGTACTCTTGCAAGCAGTTTCCAAAGTTACTAACATAAAATGTTCATTATTCATGAACACCTACCTTGATTGGCTGGAGTATTGACTCATTTTCACATTGTTACTTTAGTTCTTTTTTTATGGGTATTATAGTTTACTGTAAGCTCCTATAAAGGAATTGATAAGTATATTTACAGTAGATGAACAATCCCTGTGTGATCACATAAGTTGGTGCACAGCAGCTCAGATGAACCTGTGTTCAATGTATAGTATAAACCTAGTATTAGTTCACAATGTCCCCAGTGCACTAAAATAGCTGTTTCAGGGAATTGTCTTTTTTATTCAGGGTATTTAGTAAGAAATCACATATGTTTTACTGAGACATGTTTTTCCTATGAAATTATTTGTACATTATAGACCTATTAAATCATGTGTTAACTATGTTTTCCACTATGAAATCCCATCACTATGAATTCAAACTGACCACATCCTGAAAATCTGTGAGGCCATTTTCTCAACTGCTTTATATTCTTTAATTGTGTGAAATGGGTGGAGCCACAGAAGTGCACATTGTTTCCCACTGTAACAGTCCAATAAAGTACATAGTTCAAATATGAGGACATGGGATGCCTGCTTGAAAACTCTGTTAATTAATTTACTATACTGAGTCATTAATGCCCACATGGTGTCAGCTTTATCACCCCCGTCAGAACTCTTAATTTCATTTTTATATACCTGCAGTGGTTAATTTGTTCCCCGAGAATCGTTTATTCTCACCTCCTCCACCCAACATCACTACTGTTATACAACTGCATTTTTACAGTATGCGTACTTACACTTTACATCCTACTCAACTTCTCTTCGTCACAATTTCTTCCCTTCCTCTCTTGCTTCCTGACTTCCAGGTCAGAGTTTGCAATGATCTACAATGATCGGTCGGTGCAGGAAAACCATCACCTCAGTGCAGCGTTTCAGCTGCTGCAGAATGACCAGATGAACATCTTCAGTCATTTGACACGAGAGGAATGGATGTAAGACAGCATTGTCTAAAATGTTTGATGTTACATGAAGCAACTGACTGCACACTGAAGGCTTAGCTGAAACTTTTGCATGTTTATCCCCCTGTGCCATTATATGAGTTTACACCATGTACTCCACACACATACGCACACCACTCCCTTTACATTTGTGCCTGTGGTGATATCCTTTGTCTTTACCAGTGCTGTATGGAAATTAAAACAGCTGGGATGACATATTGACTCTGATGGGTATAAAGAACCCATGAGGGTAATTACTGTTTGACAAGAATTTCCCTTAAGTGAGACTGTCCAAGATTGCTACTCTACCTGACCACGATCTTTGACCTCCTGAGATAAAATGTCTCTTTTATGAATTAATAAAGAATCATGTTACTATTAGTGTTTAGTGCCTTAATCACTATTCTCCAGTGGACTAGTGAATCCCTGGGTTTTAGTGAGTGCTTCCTCTGACTAATTGGTCAGTGAGGTAACATTTCCACATTTTATCATTTATTTTAACAATGATGGATTCTGGCACTTAAACAATTAAAATAGACATCACTTAGGTTAAAGGTTACTGACTATATTTTTGTAAGAGTAATCTATCCTTGTCTGCACAGGAGTATGGTTACAGATACTGTATGTGTTATAGGAGTTAATCATGGAAAAGCTCTCCAGATATCAAACCTAAACATCAAAAGCTTACTTCAATAGGCTTCCCTATAGCAGTCAGTGTTACCATGGGAACAGAAAAATCCATTTAGAAATATTAAAAGGTTACAGCCTCATTGAGTCTTCCTCCCTGCCATCTTACACTGTACAGCTTCTTTTCATCATGTCAAGACAACTAGTAAACTGTGTGTCCTTGTCTGTCTGTGTGTGTGTTTATAGGGAGCTGCGGTCACTGGTCATAGAGATGGTGTTGGCCACAGACATGTCCTCTCACCTACTCCAAGTCAAAGCAATGAAATCGTGCCTAGAACAACAAGAACGGTAATACTAATTGACTGTGCTGTTGTTCATGCTGTGGTGCATAATGAAGAGGTCAAAAAATTTATGTTCAGATCAGATTCAGCTATTTAACATATCAAAGAGGCAGACAGGCAAATTACTGTCACACTGATTGGTACCAAGTCATCTTTTCAGACAGCTGGAGGCACAAAAACAAGAAATGCATTATGCTTTTTTCAACAGGATTGACAAGACCAAAGCACTGTCTCTGTTACTGCACACGGCTGACATAAGCCATCCATCCAAGCCCTGGGCACTGCACTCTCGCTGGACCAAAGTCCTGATGGAGGAGTTTTTCAGGCAGGTAGGAACTCTGATAGACCTGTGAACTGGTAGCATTACTGTTTCTTCTGTTGTCTTTTTCTTTGTTCAAGAATTCATATTAAAACACTTAGATTACTGTTCAAAACTCAGCTCATCTTGATTAACGGAAGTGTGACTCCCACTGGCTCCCCGTTGTGGCTTGCATAAAGTTCAAAACACAAATGTTTGCCTATAGAGTTGCCACCAGCATGGCACCCACCTGCCAGAGTTCCTTCATTTTTGTTTACGAGCCTTCTCTTTGAGTACAACTGTAGATATGAGATACAGTCCTGAATGTTCAGATCATTTCTATTGAGTTCCCTGCTATACATTGGTGTCCTGTTCTTATTTGACTGGATTATTATATCAGGATGATTGATGAGTCTAAAAGATGCATGCCCAACAGCAGCTGAACAGTTTTGTAAATGACTCATCAGTTTGAAAGGGAGAGTTTGAAACTTTCAGAGGCTTATTACATGAGATCTAAAGGACATGAAATAAAATGCACTTAAGTATGAAGCAAAGGCAGTCAAAAAGAGGAAAATCTCATTGAAAACTGTTTTAAATATGTACTTTGGTAGATTTTACTATACATTGTTGTCTGGAAAACATCCCCCTAGAATCAATTGAGCCTGGTATGTACCAAACCATTAAAAGGTACCTTGTAAACAAAATGCCTGGACATCAAAATGACAGTACTGTACTTTCATAGTGTAGATCATTGCTTATCATTTTTTGTTTTTTTTTAATTAGACCTACTATTTCTCTGGCTACATGACTCAAGTTGCACCTGTGCACCTACTGTAGCCTATTATGCATACATTGATTCTAATGTGTCATGTGTGTTATTTTTGCACTGTGGTGTGAGCAAATGAACCACAAGGTCACATAAACTGCAGCCAGCAGGTCCTATGACATACAGTGTTGTGTCACCTTAGTGTAGTGTAATGTATTTTTAATAATGTCATCAGTGCACTGGATGGCATTGACATAATTTTAAAAGTACCCTGGGTGTCTCAAATTAATCATTTTTTGCCTCCCCTTTTCACCCCGCCACCTGGTGTAGCCTTGGGCAACTATGAAGCCCGCCTATGCCTAAAAACAGCCCTGAGGCATTAGAGAAGCCAAATAAAACACCATTCTGCTACTGCATTTCCCAGAAATGCATTTAAAACATTATTTTAGTTTATTGTGTAGGATAAATCTGACAACATTTTCAGAACTGCTGGCATGTTTTTCACAATAGTGACAGCTCAGCAACAGAATAAATCATCCATTTAAGTTTAGGATGTTGATATTGTTCATATAAGAACAAAACTGCCATGCTGCCTTGCAACCTACTTAAAATGTCACCATTTTCAAGATAATAGACAATGAAAAAAATTCTAAGCCTGGTACTCTGTGTGCATCTCCAGCTAATACAGCAATAAGCTGCTTTATGCTACTGTATTGTCCTTTCTTCTCTATTTTCACTGCATAAACCTGAAAGAGAAGTAGAATAAAGGTGGTCTTGGAACAGACTTGTTTACTTTGAAAAGATGTGTGAAAGGCTCTTTGTTTGTTGTGTTGTACTTTAAAAACAAAAGTACTCGTATGGTTTTCTCTGAGCAGTCTGAAAGTACCTGCTGGCAAGTGTTGAGTGGAAAAAGTTATTTCAGGCAATGTGTAGGATGCCCTTTAAGATATTGTCTCTCTCTCTTTCTATCTTTGTGAGGGTGATAGAGAGGCAGAGCTTGGCCTGCCCTTCTCTCCTCTGTGTGATCGAAAAAGCACACTGGTAGCTGAGTCCCAGATCGGTATGTCACAACGCTTTCCAAAATGTATTTCTTTCCCTCAGTTGTTTTGTTTTTTTTTTTAAATCAGAGTCAGTGTCATGAACTTGATTGAATCACCCACCAAATATCAATCTTGTGCACACAAAAAAGTACACACAAATGGACTACAGAAAAAAATGTACCCTTTAAAACAAAAACAATTTAACACTGCGCTATGTGACCTTTTGCACCTTATTTCTCACATCAGTGGATCACATAAACATCTATCCTGATGTAAACAATGCACAAGAACACTATACTTATTTTTACACCTGTGAAACTGTTTCCAATCCTGATAGGTTTATATTTATTCTTGCAGGTTTCATAGACTTCATTGTGTATCCAACTTTCTCCCTGCTGATGGACATGGCAGAAAAGATTGTTATTCCACTGGTGGAGGAAAATCCAGGTCCACCAGATCCCTGTAACAGACACAGGTAACGCACAGACAAGGCATCTACCTCAGTGATACTTGTTGGAACTGTGTTATAAATGTTTGATTGTGGTACCTAAAGTTAATTGATGGCTGGCACCATAATGCTAAAAGGGATATCCCTATTTTCTTTACTGCCAGGGGTTAGGTGACAAGATTCACTAATGTCTTTGTTAAAAATGAAGCGTCAGCTTAGTTTTGCATAAAGACTGTAAAGAGGGAAACAACTAGCCTGCCTTTGTCAGGTGGTAAAGAAATCTGCTGAAGCTCAGTAAATTCTTTAACTCATTGTAACTTGTTTGTTTATTTTGCACAAAAATGAAGTGCAAAGATAATAATTAGCAGTTTTACAGGGGTAATAAGGGGTATTATTTTATTCTCCAAGAGAAGTACCCAGAGAGTGCATGATACTGTATAATGATAACAATCAAGAATCGACAACCACAAATGGTTGTTTTTACAGATCTGTTTAATTATTTTACCTATAACTACATATGTTACTTGATGAGCTTTGGAAGTGTTTGTAGGTGGAATGAATGAAATCTCAGTATGACAGCAATTTATTTCTCAACAGTAATCTTTGGAAGGAGAGCTCCAGAGGCCTACAGTGGAGTCTCGCTCACATCACAGCTGAGCTGGTGAGCTTCCGCTCCACGTGGACACGACACACCGAAGACAACAAACTGAAATGGAAAGAAAGTGGCTCTAATGGTTTGTAATGTAGTATTTTATTTGAGATATGTGATTGATATGGCAGTGACAAAGCCACTTGGCTCCATAAATGTGCTCATTGTGTGGATGCTGAGTGGAGCCTTCCGCCCCTCCCCTCTGTCTACCTCACCTCTACCTTCCCCCTCTCCCCTCTGTCTACCTCACCTCTACCTACATTTATTTCAGACTGATCTCATGAGCAGGTATTGTTTCCTTTTCAGTTTATGAACACTTACCTCTGCTTTTGCCATTCTTCTTTGTCCTCCAGGATTTTCAGACCCCAGTGTGACAAAAGAACAAAGATCCAGACAAGAGGAGCTGTCAGAGCAATCCCTGCAAGACCCCACTACAAATACAAACCAGTAGACAGGACTTTTGTGATATGTGCTTTTTTCATAGAGGGTCTGCAAAGGTTAACTGAGATTAATGTTGAGTTGGTGTTTGTAACAAAACCACAATGTCTTCTTATATTATGATTGAAACACAGAGGAGGTTAGAGGTTATGATCATCTTCCCAAGGTAAGATGCAGCGTTAATCCAAAAACTTTGTCTTATTTTAGTATAGGCTACTGTACTAATTTAAATGCAAAGTGAACATGCTGGCCATGTGTTATTAATTTGCCACCTAAACACTTGTAAAGTACATTTAACTTTTTGTAGTTTGAATTGTACACATTATTTAATCATGCAGTAAACAGTGAAAATGTCTATTTCTATGTGCTGTTTGGTATTTATTCATTGTAAGGCTGGCCTTAAGATATTGTTCCTTGTAATTTTCCATCTAAACACTGAAAGGATTCAAAAGTAAGAACAAAGATCTGAGTAAATCATGTTCTGCACAAAGCCTACTACACATTAAAGGGTTATTGATGCTTTGTGTTGCCACATGTCTGCTCTGGTCGAGTGACGTATATTTCGTCATCTTCCTAGGTCTGTGAGGAAGGTCCGTACAGCAAAATCTCCAACTGCACATGTACCACAATGCTTGGAAAACATTGGTCTATGTGGAAACAAGGTAGACCCTCAGTTTTAAGTACAAATAGGAACACGTGCGTGTCCCTCGTTCTTGACCCCATACACACGCGGGTATGTGCCATGTATGTCTAGCCTTTTACTTTAACTCACCACCTCAAAAGATATATTCACCTTTTTCTATTTTATACTATAAATTGCAGTAGTTTTAAAATGTTTGACTATATGAAGTGTTGCTTATAGCATGTAAATGACTTTTTTTAAAGTCAGATTTAATTGATCATTCCCAGAGTACAAATAGTAGTTACTGTACAGTTGCTCTTGAAATTAAAAACTTGAGCCCACTTCTTAATAATAATCTGCCTTATCACCCAGCGTATATCCACAAAAAACCCATTGTCCTGTCCTGTTTATGTGCACTTGACCGATATGGAGGAGCCAAGGCTGCATCTTAACCAAAACTAAGTGTCAGGTATATGACTAATGGGCAAATATTCAATTTTAATATAGCTCCAACCCTTTAGTAACTCTTAAAATACCATTTAGACCTTCATATTTGGAGATAACATTTACCAAAAATTCAGCTGAACATTTAAAAGAGTTTTCTAGTGATTCAGTAAAGCACACCCAAAATGTTGGACTTGAAAGCTGTTTATGAATGTTGTAAATTGATACAACGGAGGCTGAGATATCCTGACTTTTAGTCCTTAATATGGGCCAACTTTCAAATCCACCCAAAATATTGACACTAATAATACATCTTTTTGGGGATATTTAAATTTTAATATGCACATAAAAAATGTTAAGGTCAAATGTGAGTTTTAAAAAGCTTTAACAAGTCTTGTACCTGTTGTATATAAAGAATTAAGAACTGTACTCAGCCAGCAGGAGGGGCTGTAGACAAAGTGCAACAATTGATTCCAGGGTTGACCAGATTGCCTTCAAATCAAATTTCTAATTCCAACAACTAACATTTTTTCTAATTCCATCTACTAACAATTAGCAGGACTCCTGCAATGCAATGGAGTCAAAACTTGAATAATCTTGCTAAATGTACAATCTGTGGCTGATTTAGGTTGAATTGCATTAGGTGCACTTAATAAAGTGGCCATGGAGAGTACAGTATATGCATTATACAAAACAGGCATTGCATTTATTGTAATATGTTATATGAATATTAGTTTTGTATGGCATTGTAGCATTTCAACACAAAAGCAAAACATGTACATTACTGGCTAAATTTTTAAGATACTCCTTCACTAAACATCAAAAAGATTAGTGTTAAAAAAATTGCCTCTTGTAGCATGTTTCATCCTAATCAAAATTTTAGGCTTTGTTATTCTCTTGAGAATAACATTCTCACTGCAAAATGCTTTCTCAGCGAAGAATTTGCAATAGAAGTGATAAGTCTCACAAAGGCTACTGTGCCCTTAGGTATCACATTTAGCTTATATTGCTGCAGTGTTACAAAATACATTTGTGAAAACATTCCAGTTTATGAAAAATGTATTTTTTTATGCTCACAGCTCTACGTGTACTGAATTATTCATTGGCAGAAGCCTATTTTTAGGATGTAGCCAAACTGAACCTAAGCACATGACCAACAGTACAATGATGTCAGAAACTGTACAGTAACTTTAACTTCAGTTTAAATCACCATGTTTTGAGAATTTCTTTTGACTCGCCTCTTGTTTGATATCTAATCAGAAAGCTGACCCTGCTTTGCTTTGGGCACTAAAGGAGAATATTTTCTAAACTATTGAGAGCTGACACAGTGTTGATGACTTTAACTTGACTGGATGCAAATGTTTAAGTATACCTGATTTAGTGTGAAAAAAGACCCAATCACCATTTTAAAGATTTTATTATATCAAAGAAATTTAGATTACAGATGTAATCATCAATGAATTCAAATAAAATTGAAACAAAACTCTGATTCAATTCATGTAAAGTACTGTATCACTATTCAAAAACAGAACAAACATTACATTGCCCATAAATACACTCCTGAATTAAAATCAAAGCTTCATAGGAATGCTTTATTATCTTTCTTGTTCATTGTGGGCACAGTGGTCTTTGTTCGCAGGTGGTAGATAAACTGCTCATACTGTGGCTGATTAATCTGCTAAAGTGACATCAATACTATGGTGGCTTTGGGTTTGTGTTTCAGTTTTATTCATTTATATCTTTTGGAATGGTCAAGTATAATGTGAAGGTTATGGAAGGATTGTCACTTAATCTACATAATAATGCCACTTTGGAAATACGACTAACCGATGAATTGGCAGACATTTATTATAAGCTGCGGTAATGACTTTGATAATGATATTTTTATATACAAAACTAGAAGTAGAAGGGAATTCAGTAATTACAGTTTTGTCTGGAATTTAAATATTTAACTGGACTTGGAAAAAAGTCACTGTACTTCAGTGAAATGCAAGAATTTAGGCCTATTACTTATTGTATTAAGAGTAAAAACATCTTTGATTTATAACAGGGCAAAGATAGCATTACTTTGAAATCCAACTGAAATCCTGTTTTGCTTTTTTTTTTTTTTTTTTTGCATTTTCCTTTCAATAACTGGGTGCATTTGATAGCAGCTAGCTGACTTAGCTCTTGTAGGGACTGAACCAAAAAGTAAACAAACCATAATTTACCAGCCATGGGCAGACAGTGTGTTACTAGCTTTGAATGGTAAACAGCACTCCAAAATTTAAATGGACCAAATTGACATTTACAGGTATATGTATGTGCTGTAGCTGGTAGTTAGCCTTGCAATTTGACTTTAGCTGTGCATTTTTCTTTGGTGACTATTTGGTTGCTCATTCAACAAGCTAAAGAGCCATTCAAGTTGGACGTTTATGTTTGTGCTAGATATGAGGGAGACTTTGACATGTGTGCTGTTCAAATTGTGCAACCTGTGTGTTGCAGTAGTCAAGTGTTGTCTACTGTAGCTGATGATATACTTGAATGTCTTCAAATGTCTTGCTCTGTCTGACCAACAGTACAAACCTCAAAAATATGAACTATGTAAGTGTAGAAGACTACAGTTATATACTTCATATACTGGAGAAGGTGGAAGCTGAAAATTATATTTTTTTTCATAATTGCTCAAAATGATGAATTATCAAAATAATTCCTGGTTATAGACTAATATTTCACTATCTATGACTATGTATCAATGAGTATAGAGAGCAGGACTTGAGATGTTAGGTGCTGGATGAGGATGATGTAGGTGGATGCTTGGTTGTTGATCAGTGATTTGGGGAATTGATTACATCAGCTATGTAGTGATGATGAGTGATCAGAATGGCTGGAGTTGGACATGATAAAGCCACAAAAGGCCAGAAGCATCATGGCCTGCAATGTGATGGTTAGTTGGCATGATAATTTGGAGTGAGGGATGTTGAGTGTGAGGCAGTCAGCGGAGTAACCGCTGTAGTGATGGAGATGGTGAGAGTCACTGAGACCTTGAATGAGGAGGATGAGCTGGGCATGAGTGTCTGGGAAACAGTGATTTCCAGAAATAAGTTTTGAAAGAAACGGATGCTGCTCAGGTATTCTTCTATCGTGGATGCTTTGGAGTTTGATGGTAGAATGGGAAGGTTATGAAATATGAAGGGGTGGCTAAGTTGAATATGGTGAACTGGAGACTGAAATTTGGATGGAAGGAGTGGGGTGGGTTCCATGCTGTCCAATAAGATGAAAGGGTGGAGGGAGCAGCACTGAGTAGAATGGTGTTCTGAATAGCAATACCATGGTGGCTGCGTTAGGGTTTAAATGATGAAGCTTGTAGCTGAAAACAGAGGGATAGGAGTTGGTTCAATAACTGCATGAGGCACAGAGGCTCAGAAGCTTTTTGGATTTGTTGATGTCAGTGAAAAGATTAAAACTGATTTCCTGGGCCATTCAAGGCCTCATGATAGCTGGGATGACAATTGTGTAGATCTTGTAGATTGTGGAAGTGATATAGTGAGGGCCTTGTAAAAAGGTGATAAACTCTGACATCTAACCATTTTCTGCTTTAGATAAAAGGAACTGTCATGAAACCATTTTCTGGTTCCTAAAGAAGAATTCTTCGATGACGTCGGGTTCGGAGGTGGCAGACCTGAAGTTGTTGCAGTGAAAAGGGTTGGGTTGGAACAGCGGCTAAGAAAGGATGGCAGACATGTATGAAGCCATCAGTGAGAAACTGAATGAAGGCTTGGTCAGGATCATTGGAAAGAACCTTGTAAGGCTGGAATGTTCACTGGTATGGAGTCATGCTTTGGTTGGATTGTGCGGGCAGCAGTGTGAGCATGAGCGCTGCCACAGAATGAAGAAACATGCAAGCAGCAGCACTGAAGGAGGGAGCAGCCAGAGTTAGAAATTGTTACAGATGCCTTTGCTTTTCTGCCACACAAGCCTGCCTTTATTGTCCAAGCCTCTGTGGAACAATGATGAGGCTGGTGGCTGAGGAATCATGGTGGGGGCAGTGTGTTGGACAGTGGTGAAACACCAGAAGGGAAAAAAAATTGTGTGTTGGTTCTGATGACTGAGGTCCTGTGGGAAGCAGAGCCAGATGAACAGCATGTGAGAGCTTGATAAGCAGTGAAAGTCCAGCAGCATAGCTCTTGGTTGAGCCCCAGTTGGTGTCTTGGTACAAGTGCAGCAGGCATGCTGTGGCTTATGATGCCAGTTGAACATGATAGTGGTTAAATGCTATTCCTCCTATATGACAAGTCAAATCTAGAATAATAGACAGGTAATTGTCAGTTTTTATATGGAGATAAAAAAAAAATAACTGAGCACAGGATTTCACAATACATGTCACTGAAGACAGTGACATCCTACTGATTGAGAATAATCTGTTTGAGATAGAACTCTTCCATTTGTTATTGCACTGAGATTGATGAATTTACCTGTGAGGATGCATTGGCAAAGGTGAGTGTAGACTAGGGACAGTCTGGGCTGTGGAATGGAGGAGGAAGGGAAATCTGTAGCCAGAGAAAACTTAGATGACAGCTGGCTGGAGCTGACTGAGGGGGAAGGCACTAAGCCTCCACTCTGTGGATGGATTATGAATTGACAATAAAGGGAGGAGAAAGGAGGCAGGACCAGGAAGTGTTGGGAATTAGAGCAGGTTTGGTAGGGGAAGAGAGGTGAGCGAGACAGGGGCAGTCGCAGGAAGGATGATAGTCCCACTACTATGTGCTGTGACTGGGAGAGCTGGAGCTCCTGTATCAGAAAGAAGAGGAGCTGCAGGTGGTAAGACTAGAAGAGGAGAAAAGGAGGGGTGGCAGAGTGGCCATGGCCAGTGACTTGTTGCCGGTGCTGCAGTGTGTCAGCAGCCACATATTAAGTGAACATGATCAGGCCAGTGATTTGGGAAAGCCCCGAGTTTTAGAGGTGGCAGGCTGTAAAGCTCTTCTTTTGACCTGATAGGAGGCCAAAGAGGCTGATGCAAGTGTGGCTACTATTTGTCTGCTTGCAGGATGCTGTGGAGCCGGTTAGTTGGAAGACCCCCGTGTTTCAGTGGTGGTAGACTACAAATTTTCTGACAGCCGGATTAGAGGTTGCAGAAACTGGTGCAGATCTGGTAGTAGATGGCTGCTCAGAAGAGGAGAATTATGAGTGGAAGTGGTAAAATTGACATGCTGGGCTCGCTGGAATGCCAAAAAAGTGGCTTGTTATCCTATCTTTTGAAGAGAGAGTGTTCTTTTCTCAAAGGGTTCTTTGGAGGCCAACTACCGTTTGGTCACTACTGCGGAACAAAGTGGAGAACAGCGGAAAATAACAGAAGCCTTGTTATGACAGTGGAGGCATAAACAGGAGGATCTGGAGGATTCTCTGTGGGAGCATTGAGCACAAGAGACTGAGCTGGAGCTGTGGGAAAGGGGGAAGATAGCATGGTTTAGCCAACTGGAAAGGCCAAGAACACCTTTTTGGAAGGAGGGAGAGGACAGATCAGAAGAATCATTATACAGTCGCAGAGAGCAAAGAGAGGACGTTTTGCTGGATGGAGCCGGCAGACCACACCTGAGAGCTGGATATGCTGGTCAATGAATGACCAGGCTAAGCAGGAGAAGGCAGGTTAGCCATCAGCTAACCAGTGATTTGGGCATCCAGCTGTGGGGAAACCGGGGGTGATATGCCCAAGCCTTAGGCCAAGGACAGCAGCTTACCCTTGGAGAGAGAGAGCAACAAAGCATCCATGGAAAATTTGTCCAAACAAGTAGAATCTTAGGTTTTAGGAATATAGTTTTCATTGAGAAGTGAGCCATCATTATGAAAAATGAAACTGACTGATGCCAAGATTGTGGAATTCTTCACATGAAAAGGATGTGGTTAGAGGCATGGTCCTGCTCCCGAATCTCTGATCTGCATCTTCATTAATCACTGTAGCTCTATATGCTGTCACAGAAAAAAATGTGTTCAAAAACATTTGTAGATGTCCAATCTAATGTAAATATATACTGCATTATGCACTTAACCCACATGCTATCCACTAGTTTACAACTGAGCATCTAATTCACTGGGACTGATGACATGAATATAAATTGATGGTTTCAGTAGCAGTTATTTATGAGGTACAAATTAATTTTTATTGCTTTTAAATGGAACAATTGCAGAAGTCATGGCACATTTAATAATTAAAAACTGCCTGGAAGGATTTCAAATGAAAATAACTGTCTTTGAACGTTAAAGGAGATATTAAGAATGGGAGTTGCGGTAGTTTATAATGATTGTGTGTCTGAGACAAGAAAAGATTACCAATCACTAGATAGTAACTCCCGTTCCAGTTTATACAGTAGGCTAGTTTTAGTTGAGTGCAGGGGAAACAATAAAAAACAAATATAATGAAATTCTCTTTTCACAGGATTTTTAACATTAAGTGTAGAAACCTTTGTTTTTGTTCGAGGTGGTAACTAAGGCCTGACTGTAATATATAGATGCCCTGAAGTTTATAAAAAGTGGATCTGCAGACAATCTTCCATCTTTGTGTTGGACTGACTGAACAGACTGACCAGTATTATGTTATACAGAGGACTACTCTATTTCTCTTTCTGCTGGATGCATTTCTTTGACTTCTCCTCTGCTGGCTGAGTTGCACTGGATGCTGCAAATTAGAGACAAAAAGATAGACAAGAAAATGTAAGATAAAAGAGGCTGAATTGAAGAATTGTCTGGTCAGTCACAGCCCAACAATAAATAAATAATTTGGTAACACTATTTCTCACGTAGGGATGGTTGCACTGCATCATCTATGCAAATTTGACAGCTGGATAGTTTGTGTTTATTTGCCCCCAACAGCTAAATGTACCAGTCATACTGATGTTAACAGTAGCTAGCTAGAAAGAACTGCTGCACCTGTGGGAGTCTTCCTTTGTGTTTATCTTTAGCTCAACATCTGATTTCAAACCTCAGCAGAAACTTCTTCTTTCTGTACTGTTATAAAGCAAATTCTCAAAGTAGCAGGAGTGGCACATATTTTTTTGCTCAACATTTTCAGCTTGTATGTGTTAGCGCTTTACATTCTGCCTGAGCACACATAATAGACATAATAATTCATGATAGGCAGCTGTTAGGATACACTGTGTGTTCTATATATTTATAAACTTCAACAGTGTTAATGAGATGGTTTGTTGTAACAAACTAAATTTTCATGATTAACAGGTCCACACAGATCAATGGTACAGAGCAAGAAATAAATGTAGTAAGGAAATGAGAAACCAGACAAAATCTGCAGTAAAGACAGAACACTCCCAGTATCGGCTCACTCTCACCAACTCCTCCTCATAATTCTTTTCCATTTTTGTATTTGGTATCCTCCAAGGGTACAGAGCCATGGCAGGCAGTGGTGGAAGAAGTACTCAGGTTGTTTACTAAAGTAAAAGTTGCAATACCATAGTGTAAAAATACTCTGTTACAAGTAAATGCCCTGCATTCAACATGTTAAGTAAAAGTACAAAGATTTCAGCAGAAAATATACGTAAAGTACCAAAAGTAAAAATACTAATTATGCAAAATGGCACAGTTTACACTGCATCATATATTTCAATTATAATTATTGATGTATTGTTGTGTACATCACATGTAATGTTGCAGCTGGTAAAATTAGAGCTAGTTTTAACTAACATATGCTTATAATGTGAATTTTACACCAAGGATTAATAAATCTTGATTACAACTTTTTTTTAATTAGCCTCTTTCTGAAAACTAAAGTTATCAAATAAATGTAGAGTATAAAGTACAATATTTTTCTTTGAAACATAGTGAAGCTGAAATATGAATTAGAAGAAAATGTAAATACTCAAGTACAGATACCTCAAAACTGTATTTGAATACAGTAGTTGAGTAAATATACTTAGTTACTTTTCACCTCTGATTGTAGCACTCTGTGTGGATCAAAGCCACCTCACAGGTGTTTGTTGACAAGTCCCAATTACATGACACCAAGCCAGTTGAACTGTTTAACATAACTAAATGAACCCTGCCTGGTGAACAGTTGATGGAGCCACCTGAGAGAAATGCTATGAAGGAGAAGTGAGGGGGAAAAATTCCTTTGAATCTAATATACCTTCTTGTGAATTGTTGCGTTGCAATGAAGCTCTTTTGACACAGTACCTGGTTGTGCATTGTCTTGCTGTGATGAGGAATCTAGATTGGCAATGCTGGAACACTCCTCTGTCTCCTTGGAGAGGGAGCATTCGAGTCCACCTGCAGCCTCTAATAGACTCTCCCTTGAGAACTCTGCAGGAGGCAGAGAGACAGATTGAGGATGAGATACTGAGGTACACTGTAAATAACCAGATACAGATAAAACAAATCATACAACAGAACTAATCTACCTCGTCTCATCAACCAGTGTGAGCTGATATTTATAGTTCTATGTTATTTACTCATGCTGAGTGATTTCAAAAGGCTGATCTTTAAGTGAATCCACAATCGATTAGATGTTCCCTTCATCTGGACTGGGAACTTAATTTGCAGCTTCTTTACACTATAACATCTGAGCAAACCACAAAACACATTGTAATCCTATAAGCCTTTTTTTTGAAGCTTTTACACCACAAAGAACATCTGTCCCAGTAAAATTAAACAAAAATAGATTAAAACATTTAACTCGGCACTCCAGTGTTATTGCTTCACAAAAACAGCCCTGTCCACTCATGATGCATTAGTTCCGGGCAATTACTAAATGTGTTTACACTGCAGTTACTCTGCAGTGACCATGTATTCACCTTCCATTAGAGTGAATTAGCTGAAAAACTAAAAGTTTCTTCTGTTTCCTGTCATTAAATGTAACATATTTGGCACAGAAAAGTGGCGGTATATGCCAAGGTGTGTTTTCATTATAGAAATAGTTTGGTATTTTGTAAACTACACTTGTCTGCTGTTTTGCTGAGAGATGGATGAGAAGGTTCATTTTACTCATGACCATACAGTGAAAAAGAGGCTACAGCTTAAAAACTGGAAACGGGGAAAAAAACAACTAGTCCAGCTCTGTAACAAAATCTAACTACAAACACGTTAGTGTTCACTATTCAGTGTCTTATACTGTATTTTATATATCAGCCCCCCCCCCAAAAAAACACAAAATGTAATCATGATAGTTTGCTATTTTACTCACACTCCTTCCAGACAAGATAACCTCTCCATAACATTGCAAAGTGATGCCCTTACACTGGGAGTAGGTGTTAATATGGGCTAAACAAATGAGAAAATGTGTTAATTAACACACAGGCAAGTAGATTTTTTTCACCTTTGGACAGAATAGTTGGTCCAACATCTGTTGCCTGTTGTTATGCTAAGCAAAACAAATCAGCTGTTGGCTTTGGCTTTACTGTACAAACACAAGAGTGGGACTAATTTTCTCATCTAACTCTCAACAAAAAAGTGAATAAGCATATTTCACAAAATGTACTGTTTCTTTAAGTATTCCATTGTGTTCCGCTCTCCGATGCTGCTGTTTCACTTATCCTCTACCCCTTCTTTCTTCCTAACCCATTATCTAATTCTTTACACCCCCCGCAGATATTTCCAAACATTCTAAACTTTACTTTTTCCCTTTTGTTGCCAAAGTCTACACCCTTCCTTCCAGTTAATAAGCTGTATTTGACTTGATTCGTCTTCTATAATTTTCTTCCTCTCTCCTCAGGCATCCATCTGCTGCACCATCCATTTTTCAGGGGCAGTAGCAGTGACCTCTTATTTGTTACAGGTTCTTCTTTTACTCCATCACTCTCATACCTTCTTTTCTACACCTTTTCTTTCCCTCTTTCTTTGGCAGACTTTTGGCCAGCCCTCTTCATTTTCTTTATACTGTATTTATTACTACCTTAAATAGTGGGAGTGTAATTCTGAGCTTCTATAAGGCACCACACTTTTATTCCCATTTTATGCTTCAGTACTTTATATTGTATTTCTACTTTATTTCAGAGAGAATTATTGTGCCTCTTGTTACTTTTCAGGTTGTACATCAAAAACTTGTCTTATAAAATGTGTGTAGTTAAAAATTAAACCAGAGGTTCCCAAACTTTTTTGGCTTGTGAGCCCTTACAATAAAATCCTGTTCTTGGGACTGTTTGTCATCTTTCACTGAGTTGCTAACAGTTTCAATCAATCCCTGATGAACTTCTCAACTATATATTTACAGTATATACAGTCAATAATTAATTTACCATATAACCATTTAAGACTCAGGTCAAATTATCAAATATTTCACAAAAAACAAGAACAAATATTTTAAAAGATCTTTCCAACTGGATTATTTATTTCCCAACTACCTTCCCATTGGAGAGGTCCTATGGCATGTACCTGAATTAGTTAACTGTACACAAAGTAGTTAACTGTACTGTAGCTCTATCTTTGAGCACAGCTTGTTCTTGTATTGGAGTACTTTTACACTTTTATATTGTTGTATTTGTACTGAAGTACTTCCACCCCTGCTGAAATGTAAGTCCAGCCAGACAATTGCTCATATGATTGGTTAATTTTGTCTAGAGGAAAAGCATGAGTTTCATTTCCTCTATGCCTATGTCAATAAATTTTTTGAGGAAACTTTTTTTTTTGCTACTGTTGTGCTGAATAGGCAGCTACAACACCATGAGCATGCTAATGAAATTCTCTTTTTTTCCAAACATACCCTCCATTTGGCAGCGCAGTTTCTCAAAGGCCTCTGCAGTGGCCCCATCATCGTGTGGGAGCTCCTCCCCCATGGGAACAGAGTCGGGGCTGGGCCTGTCTGACAAGCAGCTCTCAGAGGAGCACTCGTCTCCAGCTCCCTGCTGCTGCCTGTACAGGTGGTGCTCTACCAGGAACTGCAGTTCTGGGAGGAGGGAGGTTGAGATCAGAGAGGTGAAAGACAAGCAGGGAAGATGAAAAGAAAAGGAGAAAGAAAGTTGCTTAAAAGGAAAGAGTTAACCGTGGAGGGAGAAGGGAAAAGAAGCAGTGAGGAAGATAAAAAGTAAGAAGCACAAAATCATTGGGGAGACCGGAGGAAAGAGGACAAGCACGAAAAAAGTGGTGTGAGATGAAAGGAACCGATGACAGAAAGGGAGGGTTTGCACAGCACACTGGAAAGTGAGATGGAAGAAGGCAGAGGCGCAGTGTAGGTGGAGGTTCAACTTCAAATCAATATTATAGGTCAAGTATTTTTTAATGAACAAACAAGAATTAACACCTGCACTGAACAAGTAGAGAGATGGAGTTGACAGATATTTAGTGTAATAGCCTTGTTTGACCTCCATCGTCCATTGTTTTATTACTTTAAATCCCTGTGTGGGAAACTAAAGCACAGTGATTATCACCCAAGTTTTCTCTAAGAAATGACTCATCACACTTAGAGCAGTTTAGCTCTGAAACTAATTGGAGAATAAACATTCTAGAGGTCCAGATTTCACTTACCCTCTAATCATTGTTTCTTTGCTTCTTGGAAATGATTGTGTTTTACTGCATACACTCTGCTTAGACAATTTACACTCTCTATTCATGTATTTAATTGGACTTTGACACATAAAATAGGATTTGCTGTGACAAAAACAACAGAAATACAGTAGCTGGCTTTCTTTAGGTGGTGCAGGAGCTTAACATGCACTAACTTTATATGAATAAACGTTTAGCTCAAAAGATGGCAACTGGGACAAATATGGTCAGTAAATATAAGGTAATCAGCCCCTCACTGTGACAAGTGCAGCTCTGATTGACCCTGAAGGTAGAGTAAACTCCCATCCTTAGCATAGCTGCTTTACCAAGTATACTCAAGTTACTGTACCTGTCATTTTACTATGGTGGACTAGACTGGACTTTCAGTATACTAAATATTTATCCCATTCAAGGAGAGGCTGGCATTTTTTAGTCTGCTGGATATAAAAATGTGCATCAGCCTCTGTATGTGTTGCTCCAAGAGAGAATCAACAGTACTTTAGCAATATTTTTGAGAGGATAAAAAGCAGACTGGGTGACAAACCCTCATGGGCCTTGAAATTTTGTTCTGAGTTCAAGATAACACAGACAATTTTGGTTTTTCGGTCAGTCCTAGAAAAACTAATTTCATGGCCAGTTTTGCTCTGAGCCTTTGAACCTATAATTAAAATTCCAGTCTTATCCTGCAGTCTGAGTTAGCCAAACAAGAGGTTAACTTCCAAAATCTTTCTAGTACATTTCCCTTGTGGACTTATGGGCTGATGTTATTGTTTTTAGGAGTTTTCTTTTTCTTGTCTTCTCACACATGGGCTGCTTGGGGATACTTACTGTGGGCCTCTATTTAAGGGGTATATACTTAATGTAATTTGATTTGTGTGGTTGTGTCAGTTAGCTAAAATATCAGTTTGATTTGATTAGGTAAATTTAGTAACTTTTTGTCCCTATAACTATGAACACATGCATTTTGCACTGAGCAAAATCAGATCTGAGGCCTTTTCTTTTCAACTTTTGTAATTTCTCTTCACTTTGTCATCAAAACCATAAGTTAGACAGTTTGGGTTTAAAAGACACCTGGGAGGCTCCTTGTACTAGACAGAGCAGGAGAGTTTTACAGGGCACGGCCCTAGCTACAGCCTGTAGCAGCCTCCTGCTACAGGCTTTGTGGTGTCTAACCTAGATATTTTTGTAGCATAAACTGGTAACTGCTTATATGTTGGTATTATGATAGAATTTTAAAGGTTATTGTAGTTTAACTCAAACTATGCACCCAAATGCCCTAGGGTCCTTGTATTTTTGTAAAGCAGAAGTAAAATGAGAAAATCTGTGTCTGAAAGACTTATGCTAATACATTACCAGAAAGAGAAGCAATAATAATAATAATCTTTTACCTTTGTTTAGTGTGTGCAGACACTATGAAATAACACATTTAATGCCAACATCATGTTTAGAATAATAAGATTGATGGGTGACTCTACCTTTCATTGTAGGTGTTCCCTTTTGTCCTTTTCGCCGTTGTCTAGGGGAGTTCAACAAGGCTGCCTGTAAAACATGAACGTTTACATAACAGCTGGGCAAACAGCACAGAGATGGAAAAGACTGTTTTAACAGTGACAGAAAACTATTTAACATAATTCTGCACTCTTATTTCAGCAAAAAAACAGCATGAATCATATTACAGTACCTTATACAACTGGTTTGGGAGACGATCTTCATCTATTTCTGCAAGAAAATAATCGATTAAGTTCTGTACACAATAAAATAATGATCATAACGAGTTTAAAGCATATACATTATAAACGTGAACTTACACAAGCACTGAATTAAGGGTGTAGTTTTGATACTGGTTACAACAGCACACATGCTCTTTTCAATATGTCACTGTTCTGTAGCTGGAGTATTGCTGTGTCTGTCCAGACAGTGCAAAGCAGAGTGGATGCAAAGTGACTTCCAGCCAGATGGTTATCTAGCACGCTGCCAGCATTGCAGGAAGTATTTGCCAAATTTCTAATTTCACAACTAGGATTAAAAGCAGATTGGATGCTAATCCACTCTCAACATGAAAAACAATTTACTGATGACAGAAGACACTCTTTGTACAAACACCTGAACAAAAGTAAAATGCTTGAATACTTTCTCCACCACTGACAACCACCACCATGTTCACAGACACGTTGAGAACTCCAACATGACACTACACACTTGGATATGAACCTCATGTATGTCCCACAGGATAAATATTTATTATCTGAAGCTGACCTGAAATGCGACTATGTGGTCACTACTGTATATGAAATGACTGAGATAGAAAAAAAAAATGGGTTGACTGGAATACAGTGAAACATTAACAGTGATCGAGTGAGTAAATGTGTGATGAACCTGCAGCCAACTCTACATTTTACAGCAGAACTTTTTTCTAGGACACTGCCTTGTTGCTTGGCAACCTATGCATCCCTAGGCACTAGAACACCACTGTGAGCGTGTGTGTGCCAGTTAGCATATGCTATTCTTACTTAAAAACAAGTGCTACGCTGTTCAAAATGCCAGTGAGGTGCTTGCTTTTTTTTATTCATCAATTGCTCTCTCTCCTTCTTTGCACCAAAAACAAACCTAGCATTGTATAAAAATCAAAAACCATTTAATTTCATGCTCTAAGTGTTCAAAATGATGCTTGAAATAAAATCTTATTTTTAGCATCTCCTAGTTCATCTAATATGGATTTAGTTTCAAATAAATCCCAGGAAATTAGCTAGACTCAGACTGTCGTTCAAGCCATAGGGAATAGATTTATAAACAGATATTTGACAGTTATTGAATTTGATTTGATTGATTGATTTGATTTGATTTATTCTTTCAAGCATGTAAAGACAGTTGATATATCAACACACATAATTTTACAAATATCCAACAAATGCTAATCCAATATCAATTTGCTTATACCTAGTACATGCTTGAATGGAGTAGGAAGAAGTCAGACTTATCCAGTCCTACCCCATGACATCATCTTACAAGAAGGATCTAATGGTACTTACTGATCTCTGGTCAGGTTCAGGTGATGAGCCCTTCTCTGCAATTCTTCTCCTGTAAGACAGAGTCCAGAATTATTTCTGAAAAACAGTTGCTATTTTTAAAAACATATCATCATGTTTAATGTTAATATCATAAAGCACAGACCACACAATTCCTCCTGAACTCCACATTTTTAAAACCTAAATTCCTTAGATTTCTCTAGATCTTACAGTGATACTTCTCTGTCAGCAACAAAGTGCATTTAAATTACGATTTTACTACATATCATCTCATAATACTGAGGAATAGTGAGAGTGATGAGTACATGAACTTATTCTTCAGGTGGCACAACAAAATCCATTGCGACCAACATTGGGGTTTGCTAAATCTACTGTATGGCAACTGTGTCAAGTTTCACTTTTCTGTAGTATATGAAACAAGATCTGAAATTCATTCATATGACTCAAGTGCCTATTTTGAGACGTACTGAATCGAAGAGTAATATATGATGTGTCGCTACCTCCTTGCTAACAGGGCACTCATCTCCTCCATGAGCCCTCCTCCTCCAGGCAGAGGGCCGTTGCCTCTGGCTTCAGATTTGGCCCCTCCAGCCCCTGGCATGGCTGCTGCCAGAGCGGCCGCCGCCT